GGCTGCACTTCTGCTCGCGTGGGTCGTCCTTGGCTCGACGGGCGCAGAGAGCCTGCGAGCAGGGGCTGCCTGGCTGTGGGGAGCTCCCTCCAGAGGCGTTTTAGAGGGCATAGTTCTTAAGTTTGTTTTAAGTGAGCTGGAGAAGCAAGAAGGCGTGTAAGTACCAGACTCCCTGCGGGATTTGGGTGCTGGTGCCTGGTTGAAAGTGCCTCCTCAGATAGATGCAGGGGAAGGTGCTTTTGGCGTGGGGCTGGCAGTGGGGTGGTAGGAGAGGCTCGGAGATGCTGGAGACCAGGGCACTTGGGGGTCTGGAGTCCAGGGCGTGGGGCTGGGAGCTCCCCGAGGAGTGGCAGTGGGCTGCGGCCTGCTCCCCAGAGCCACAGCCCAGCGTCCCGCAGGAAGGGCGAGGCCCGGCTGTCCTGTCCCAGATCACATCATGCGCCCATGGCTTTTCAGGTGAATCCCGTGTGCCCTTGCCATTAGGACAGTGATTCCCAGACCAGGTTCCTGACCGGCTGCAGGAAAAGCGAGGGGCTGCCACCAGCCCCTGGGGGGGAAAGGCTTGCTCTGCGCCCTGGCCCGGGTTGGAGGGCTGTCGCTGCTGGGGCTGGGTCCCCGGCTGCACACCCAGCGCTACTGCACATGGCTCAGTGGCTCTGGGACCCGTCGTCAGGGGGCTGGCCCCAGGGCTCACCCTCTGGGAGAGCAAAGAGCAGGCAGCCAAGGCTCTGGCAGCAGCAAGAGTGGTTGCTCCCCAGTCCCCCTTCCCTGTCTCTTGGGGAAAGCTTGTGCCTGCAGGCCTGGGGGGCAGCTGGGAGCCCCGGAGTGGCTTTTCCTGGCCGCCACGAGGGGGTGGCCCAAAGTGCAGTAGCTTTGGGCATACGGAAAAGTAACGGTGGCAGCTGGCGTGGCAGGTTCAGTCGATAATCTCCCAGCCTCCCAATGTGTTTTCCTCTGTGCTTTATTTAGTGGTAATATAGCACTTCTGTCTTCCTGAGACCACAGCGTGACAGGAACAAGATCAGCCTATGTTTCCCCCACACATTCCATGCAGATTACGTTCGTGATGTTCTAACAGTGGCAGACAGGATTAAAAGTGTTACAAGCTGCGAGGAATCGTCTTTCCTGTAAGTCACTGGCCCCTTGCAGCACCCTGCCCGCTCAGGCGTACCTGCAGAGCCAGGCATCCCTCTGCGAAGTCGTATTCCAGGTAGCAGCAGGATTCCCCCGGGACACTCCTGGCTGTGAAGTCCCCTCAGTAGCATCCCCAGGGCTGGTCTTTAAGACTGACAACTGCAGGAGACCTCCATCTGGTGGGAACCACTCCCTGACGTTAGCTAAAGCCTCTCAAGCAGAATGAAAAGTGCTTCTTCGTAAAGTTAAGTAAGTCCTTCCCTGCAGTGCTTGCAATGCAGCACTGCAGCAGGGCCCAAAGCCCAGGATGCAGGGCTCTCAGGCTTGGCTCGAGCTGCGACGTGCCTGGGGAGTTGTTAGCACGGGCATGTGTGGGAGAATAAATCAGCAGCTGAAGCGGCTGCAGACAGACGCAAATCCGAAGCTGAGGGCAGGGTCTCCAAGTTAAGGTGTCGGTGGAGCTGGGGATGAGCCTGTAGCTCCGTGAAGAGCCGCGACCCCTTGTTTTGGTTGTCGGAGTGCCCAGGGAAAGCCTTGCAGGGATGGCTGGGTCCCTTTGGTGGCTGAGGTCTGGGAAGGGGGGGGACAGTGCTCTGCTGGGTTGCATTGTGCCTTGGCCAAAGCATGTCACACAAGCGGGACAGAGCCCCGGTGGGGTGGGGATGGGGAGCGGTGCTGCTCACCTGGCCCGGGGCAAAGCGTCCCTGTGGCCCCTGGAAAGGGTCCGCGTGGACATGGCTGGCCCAGCCCGGCGCGCAGGGCTGCAGGGCAGTCCCCTGTGTGGGACCCCGGGAGCTTTCAGGCACCCCCTCGGCTCTCGCAGCTGGGCTGCTACCTGCTCCCTG